CCTTGGCGCAGAAACTGCACTCATTCTGGTCCGAACCAACACGTGGCTGTGGGTCAAAACCAATGGGATCCCATTTTGGGGGGGGTTTTCGGTGCACCACCCATTTTTGAACCAATTTTGCTGGGGATTGGGATGTTAGGGGCTACGAGAAAACTTCGGCCACCGGGGACTGCAGGTTTCAGTCTTTCCCTCTACCAGGGTTCCTATTTTTGACCCACACCCACGTGACTCAGCGCAGTCTGGCAGCGTTCTTTGCGGAAGGCGTCTGTGGCGAAGACGTGATCTGTGGGTTCCTTTGATGGAGCGAGCAAAACGACTCAGTGCAGCCAGCGTGTCTTCCACGAGTGTCTAAAGCATGAGCAAGATTCGGACTTCGAAGCAGCAGATTCCAAGAAGGCCGAACGTGCAGCGCAAAACAAAGCCTCTGGCACGTGGGAGTACTCCTGCCCTTAGCCAAGAACTCCCAAGGTTAGCCGTGACTTTGCCAGTGAGTTGCAAATGCTTCAAGTTGCGAGTGGCTTGATGTTGCCAATGCAAATGCCAAAGCAAACAACTACTCAGAGCCCAGCGGATCTGTTCACCTCAAGTTCAAAGCACATGCCAAGCACGGGCTTTCGTCTTGACCAAAGCCGGTCGTGCCAAACACCGCATCTTGCCAGACTCTCTCAAGGCGCAGTTTTGGGCACGTGACCCAAACTAAACCGACCCCCGTTTCATCTTCAATGACTGTCTCGCAGCTGGCCGCCTCACGTGCGTCCGAGGCACTGTACACCTCGTATTGCGGCCATGGACGGCCCAGCACCGCCATGTCGAAGTCCATGAAGAGCTTACAATCCAGCTCATCTCTCTCTGTACATTTGTGATGAGCGGTTTGCTCCTCGGCCAGCAAAGAGTACAGCCACAATCAAACAAAAGGCAAATGAATGTTGGTATGGGATAGTCCCAACCGCAAATGGGTGCCGCCGCCTTCTGATATCTTTACATGGTTCTGGGAGTACGACCATTTTAAAACCGATCGGTTTTGACTTGGACTCAGCAATTGAAATCATGCGCACGGCGGCTGGTCACAGGGCAACTGTCCAAGCCAGCTTCGCAACAAATCCGCCGACCCCCCTGCCTGCAAGGGGAAGGCGCTGGGGGAGTGTTCGTTTAGCGTTGGAGCGTGACTGTGGCAGCCTTCTCCCTTCCCTTTCGCCCTCGCCCGTTCAGCCCTGTACCTTACCAGCCTTCTTTCTTTCACTTTTTTCTTGTTCTTCTTCGTTTCTTTTCTTTCCTTTTCCTTTCTGCTGCCGGCGCACTCCTTTGGTTGGCGCTCGCTGTAGACAAACGAGTGCGGCCTGGAAAAGCACGGGAAGCGAAGCTTTTGTGGCTGGCCGCTCCCTCTGGACCGATAGCCTTGCTGCATATTGGACTCAAACGCGACGTTAGGCACCCGGCCGCGGCGGAGCAGGCAGCCGGCGCACTCCTTTGGTTCGTGCTCGCTGCGGCGAAGCGAGTGCGGCCTCCAAGCGCGCTGGACGCAAAGCTGTTCTTGCTGGTCGCGCCCTGGGGACCGATAGCTTTCTACTTTCTATATAGGATTCAAAAGTGACGTTCGGCACCCGGCCGCGGCGCACCAGCCGGTCTTGGCAAGACGCACAGCAAACCCAAAGGGATGAAAGACCAGGGAGAGGCAAACTGTGACAGACGCAGGCGCACATGGGCATGGACAGGCCGGGGATTGAACCCGGCCCCTCTCGCATGCTGAGCGGGTGTGATGCCACTACACCAACTGCCCCTGAGCTGAGCAGGCCGAGAGTGCTCAACTACCTGCTGCGCACAGCTTTCAGCGCTGAAGCTCTGTCACGGCCAGCCCGTTCGCAGCCTGCTCCGCCGCGGCCGGGTGCCCAACGTCGCGTTTGAGTCCAATATGCAGCAAGGCTATCGGTCCAGAGGGAGCGGCCAGCCCCGGCCGCGGCGCAGCAGCCGCCCTTGGCAAGACGCACAGCAAACCCTAAGCGAGAAAGACCAACCCAGGCGCACATGGGCATGCGCAGGCCGGGGATTGAACCCGGCCCCTCTCGCGTGCTGAGCGGGTGTCCCCCCATGTGCCCCTGAGCTGAGGAGGCCGAGCGTGCTCAACTACCTGCTCGGCACAGCTTTTCGCGCTGAAGACCCACCCGCTCGGCCTTTTTTCTTCCTATCGGCTGCCGGCGCACTCCTTTGGTTGGCGCTCGCTGTGGGCAAACGAGTGCGGCCTGGAAAAGCGCTCCAGCACCTGCAGGGCACAGTTTTCAGCGCTGAAGCTTTGTCACGGCCCGCCCGTTCGGCCTCTTTTCTTCCTTTCTGCTGCCGGCGCACTCCTTTTGGTTGGTGCTCGCTGTGGACAAACGAGTGCGGCCTGGAAAAGCGCGGGAAGCGAAGCTTTTGTGGCTGGCCGCTCCCTCTGGACCGATAGCTTTGCTGCATATTGGACTCAAATGCGACGCACTCGGCCGCGGCGGAGCAGGCTGCCGGCGCACTCCTTTGGTTCGTGCTCGCTGCAGCGAAGCGAGTGCGGCCTCCAAGCGCGCTGGACGCGAAGCTGTTCTTGCTGGTTGCGCCCTGGGGACCGATAGCTGTCTACTTTCTATATAGCACTCCTTTGGTTGGTGCTCGCTGTGGGCAAACGAGTGCGGCCTGGAAAAGCGCTGAAAACAAGCAAACAAGCAAGCAAGCGAGCAAGCAAGCAAGCCAGCAAGCCTGAACCAGCCAAAAGCCGCTGACAGAACAAAAAAAACCTGGGCTGGCCCCCCAGCGGAGGGGTCGGCGGCACTGGGCGGCAGCCCTTAAATTATTTCCATCAATGCAATGGTGAAAGCCTCAGGCAACTGAGAACAGCACGATCCATCTTCTCACCTTCCACCAGTGCTGACATGGGGGCTGATCAAAAGGTCTGATGACCATGTGATACAATATGATAGTTTCCCACCGAATGGGAAAAGCCACCCATCCTTGGGGCCCCTAAATGGAATGGGAAAACTTACCCATGGTCATCGGGGGGGCCCTTAAAAAAATAATATGGTGGGTCACAAATGCAGTAACCCCAAAATGGCTTGCCCTGGAAAATGGAACCAAGGACTAAAACCTGCAGTCCAATCCCTGGCGGTTTAATTTTGACCCACAGCCATATTGAGAACCGTCCATCAATATTGAGACCCCCCACATGGAGATGGGTCAAAATGAAGCCAGCAGGAAACCGCGGGTTTTGGTCTTTGGTTCCATTTACCATTCCCAACACGGGTTCCTATTTTTGACAACTACAGCCACATGGCTGTGGCTCAAAAAAAAACGGAATTCCAAAATGGAACCCTGGTACCAAAATTCCTGCGGTTTGCCCCTCCGATCGTTTAATTTTGACAACCACTGCCACATGGCGCCTTCATGGCCTTCAAGCCCTTCTCGACTCCCGGCGGATCTCCAGAAGGCAACGACTCCTGCACGAAGCGCTCGAAGAGATCCGCGCTCTCCAGCTCGTTCCTGTTGCCATCGAAAAGCGGATCAAAAAGCGATGCTGCCAAAGGAAAGAAACCAACGGCGGGTCTCCTAAAATGCCGAAAAACCCTTTGAAAAGGAACCAAGCAAAATCAGCACAGAGTGACTTTTCATTTCAAAAAACAAGGAGAAAAAGAAACAAAAAAAAAAAAAAAAAACGCAACTTTCAAAGAAGAATCTGAGGACTCCCCGCCCGAGGGTTGTAGATCACATCGTGGAAGAAAATGGCCAGGCTCACGGCAGCTGCATCCGTGATGGAGCTCAAGTGCTCCTAGGAGCCGAGGTCACGCGAATGAATTAAGGTAGGGGGACCTTCCCCATTCCGAATCCAGGGATCCGGATCTTTCTAGCAAACCTCCGGAAGCCCAGGGAAATTGGAGGCAAGGAATCAACCCCTAGAACTAAGGAAGAACGCATTCCGAACCCATCGAAAACAAGCTCCAAGCATCTCCGTGTCCTCGAAGTAACTAAACATTTCATCCAAGTGCGACAGTGTGTGGTAGGACCGCTGCGACTCTCCATATCCTTGGCAGAAAAAAAATCAAACCAGAACTGGTAGCGAGAATTGCGCGCACACAAACACAAACATGCAGCAAACATGCTGCAGTTGACTTCAAGCGGCGATTCTTCAGCACCTCCCACCATCGTTGCACGTCTTCAGAAGACCTCGTGACAAAGGCGATGTTTTCATGGAAGGAACCCGAGAAAAACCATCCTGTATGGCTTCCTTTCTTTAAGGGACCACCAAAAAAGGTATTGTGTTGCCTTTGGTTTCAACTGCACAAAAATGTATTAACGAATTGGGCTCTCTCAGCCCAGTGGCACTCCCAGACTGCCGCAAAGCTCCTGAGCAAGACGAGGCGTCCAACTGGATTGCCCTGTCTGCTTGGTGGTTGCGTGTCTTGTTTAATCAAAATTTGAAAAATGGTTGGTTGCCTTTGGTTTCCCTTTCAACCAACCAAATAAGGAGTACCAACTGCGAAAAAAAAGGCATGTGTCAAAAAATCAACCAGGAATTGGACCGCAGGTTTTAGTCGTCCATGTGTTCCACTTACCATGGCTTGCCGCCATTTTGGGGTTACCCGATTTTTGACCAGCACGGCCATGTTCGAAGGACCCCAAATCCACCGGGCGCCTCCCATCGCTTCTTCAGGCGCACTTCAAGGGCCATTGCGCATGAGCCAAAGCTACGAGATCTGCAAACTGAACTCAGCACATGGGTGTGGGTCAAAATTGGGATAACCCCAAAATGGCTTGCCCTGGTAAATGGAAACAAGGATTGAAAGCGGTCGGGTGATTCAATTTTGACCCATACCCACATGGGGGGTTGATCAAAAAGGTCGCATGAATATGGGCTGACCATCAAGGAAAAAGATGACATGTCCCACTAAATGGGAAAAGTTAGCCTTGGTCATTTGGGGACCGAAGGGAATATTGATCAACCCCCACAACTCCAAGCTGTAAAATACAATGTATGGCAGCTGTGCTTGGTCGGAGTTGGCGGCAAGTTCTCCAGCACTGCCTGCATGTTGGAAGCAAACCAATGGCAAAACAGATTCTTCCAAAACTTCCGCCAGATGCCTACCTAGAACATGTGTTTGCCAAGCACTGCGAGACAGTCAGACAGCCACATGGTGAGTCTCCTGCGACCAGCAGGGTTCTTCCTGATCTCCGGCTTTGGAATTCCGGCCAGTTGCAGATTCAGGTCACCCTTTGGTGGCTTTTGGGTTTTGGAGACTTGGATTTGGATGCGCACCCCTGGGCGTTTTTTGCTTTTTTTTTAATGGCGACAGCCATGCTCCGCAAAAAAATAAAAATAAAAAATGGAAGCTCCGCCCGGCCTGGTGGAGGCTCATGGTCACTTGCGGCAGCTGCAGACAGGCCTCCTGCACCGCCTGAAACGAGGGATGGCAGATGCGCTCCCGGCCCACGGCTCACCGGATAAAAACCCAAGGGGGTCAAAAGTGGGTGCTTGAGGTTTCTTAGCCGCCCAGTTATGGGGTGTTGGACCTCTGGTTGTTTGTGGTTTGAGGTTTCATAAAACACAGCCTAATTGTTTTTTGGAGTTGGTGCCCCTTTTAGGTGGATTTAAAGGGGAGATCAAAAGGCAAACCACGATTTTGGGGTATGTTGACACATACCCCATAAGCGCCCGGCATTGTCGAATCCCAGGAAGCCTTGGCATACGCGCCGCGAGCGGCGAACAGCGGCGCGAAATGGCCGGGGCAAGACTGGCAGCGCCCATGTCTGTCAAGAAAACGCCAGCTGCTTGGAAAGTTGTACCACAGGCGGACATGCATGATCTGGCTGTGGTCAAAAATAGATACCCAAAATGCAACCCTGGTAAGTGCAAACATGGACCAAAATCTGCGGTCCCCTGTTGGTTTGATTTTGACCCACCCCCATCTGTGGCCCTGACTGTTCTTTAGGATCGAGGAATAAATCCTCTCCACCGTTTCTCCAGCAGGGAAGGTGATTCCAATGCAGGCCTCACATGCGGGCTCAGGTGGCTTCCACCAAGACTCCTTTTGCGTCAAAATGAGCCATGACCTCCAGCAAGCGAAACTTGTTGGTTTTGGAGGGAATGAGAAATGGAGGGACCCCGAAAACCATACCCCCTCGTTTTCTTCCTTTCAGGGAATCCCCAAACCGTTCACACCAACAACACCCGGAAGGGCTTGGCATTCTTTCGCTCTCGCAAACCGCGGGTCACGTTCTGAGACGCAGACATACAAAGACACCACCCGCGGGTCGATGGTGTTGCGCCCAGCGCCAGGGGGCTGCATGCCAGACACGAACTGGCAATCCTGGCCGAGGGGGTTTGTGGCCTGCACGGCCTGCACCCTTGGGATTAAATTCTTGGGAGATGACCCGGAAGGGTTTTCTTAAAGTAACACGGCTTCCGGAAATGTGGCCTGAAGGGGGTCAATACCCAGTGGGTGTAATCCCAGGGTGTAAAAAAACCCTTAGATCCTGGCTGAGTGGTTCCAACTGGACCTCACAAGTCACAGCAGGATCTCATAGCCTTTCCCTTTCGGGCTAAGCATTTCCCCCCGTATCGACTCCTCACGAAGCTGTGCTGCACTCAAATCCCCCTGCTAAAAGTTTAACTTGTGGGTGAAATGGAAATCCCACTAAACCCAACAAGGTATAAAAAGCTAAGGAACCGGATGGCTGGGAGCCATCAAGGAAGGTTCTGGCAATCCCTCAAGGCCCACGAATCTCCTGGATGATGATCTTGTCCAAGTCCCCGCCACGCTCATACATGAACATGCCTAAGCTTGGCGAGGCGAGGTTTTTGTCCGGCCCGTCTTACAAGTGAAATCAACAAAGGTAGGATGAAAGGGCTCCGCGTCTCAAGAAGGAGCTCATGTGGGTATGGGTCAAAATAAAACCACCGGGGACCGCAAGTTTGAGTCCTCCTTTCCATTTACCAGGGTTCCAGTTGGGGTACCTTTTTTTGACCCACGGCCATGTAAACAAATGGGGCCACTGTGGTGCAGGCTGCAAGCCTGCTCCGCTTGTTTTGCCTTCGAGTTGCGCTCCATCAGGAACTTCAGCAGCGCCAGTGGCTGCTGAGTGCCGTAAAGGTCCTGTGCCCATAACCCCCAGGTGGCTGTGGTTGTCAAAAATAGGGTAACCCCAAGTGGAATCCTGGTAAATGGAAACATGGACTAAAAAATACGCGGTCCAATTCCTGGTGGTTTTGAATTTTGACCCATAAACCCCAAGTCGACCTGGACAAAAAATCGCGGCATGGCGAAGTGTGCACCTCCTGGCCCCGGCGCCCATGCGACTAGAAAAAGAGGGCTGTTGTTGTCAAAACCGTTTTGGGATCCCATTTTGGGGTCTATAGGTGAATTCACCACCCATGTTAGAACCGATTTTAGTGGGGAGTGGGATGTTCACTGGGGGGACGATTTGGATTTTGACCCAGGGCCAGAGCAAGACCAAGATTCAATCTTCGGCATCGACAGGTCGTCAATGAAGATCCGCAGCTTCTTGCCCTGCCACGTAACTGACGTTGAATGCTTTCCAGTCCAGTGGCCACATTCTAGGGGCTACGCCTGCTCCGGCCCGAAGATGCGCCCCGTGCGCTTGGAGATGTTGTCCTGGACAGCTTCACAAGCGTCGCTTCGTGAACAAATGGCTGACAATCCATTCCAAAGCCTCATGCTTTGTGCTGTCACGGTGTGACCAAAATCCGATTCCGTCTGTTGGTTCGCGTGTCCTCCATGGTTCTTTGGAAGTCAAGGCTGCCTTAGCACACCAGAGCCCATGCACCACACTTCCATGTCCCACACATGTACTTGTTGTGTTCTTGTCTGGGCCCGCGACTGGTTCTGGATGAGTAGTTGATGTTGAGGATGACAGATTTATCTGCTGGATAGCTCTCCAACGTATTCTGCATTGTGACCTGAGGTTATGCATCCCAGCCCCCCTGCCTTTGTATCCCCACAGGCCATCCGTCAAAACGCAAACCCTAGAACCAGACATCATCGTAAGATATGATCGTGCAGCTCTCGTCGACTGTTCTGAGCTCTCATTTTGGCATTATTGGTTAGAACGTCGCCAAACCAAGGCATGGTTGGATGCACCACCATGTGCGTTGTGGGGCCGATGTCAAGCTGAGAAAAAAAGAAGGAAAAAACAGCAAAGTTCAAATAACACTTCATGATCACCATGCCCATGCTGACAATACGGCCTGCGCTCGAGCAAACCGAGTCTAGCACTCAAGCAAACCAAGGCTGAAGCTTTAGTGGGTGATGCCTGTTACGGGGAACCTACCAAGCAGGTTTCTTCAACTTCCCCTTAACATAAAGGCTGAAAGCACTCCGGATGAGCCGATGAGCAGGCACCTACCACAAGCATGTGACGCTGGAAAGCTCTCGCTTTGGCTCTCGCTTCGATCGTCCACTGGGACCCCGGCGGATTTGGCAGTTCCACTCTCTCCAATGAACAGCACGGGCTGGCTCAAACTCAAGAACTGCTTGACCTCAGAGCTTTGGGACACGCACAAACGGGACATTGCTGATTGTCACAAATAGGGTAACCCCACCGTGGAACCCTGGTGAGTCTCAATTCCAGGTTTCATTTTGACCCATACCTAAAAATAGCAAGTAAACCACCCACAAAACCTTTGGAACTTTTCCGTTGGGTTTCCTTTGTTCCCTTGCAATATTGAGTTGGCATCGAGGGGTTTCTCGTAAACCCTTGGGATACCCACATGTGAGTCAGAATCACAAGCCGGTATTAAAATGGTCGACCTAGAACCATGCAAAGAAGTAAGGAGGCGGCCGCACCTCATTCTGGCTGCGGGTTTTCCTATCTGGCTGTGGGGCAAAAATAGGGCAACCCCAAAATGGCTTGCCCTGGTAAATGGGTTCTATGGACGATTTATCCTGCGGTCCAATCCCTGGTGGTTTAACATTGACCCACACCCTTACTAACCTTCATCTACCTGAACCGGTTTTGGAAGCTGGCTCGGTGCGTCACGGCTGGGGGAGCTGGCCAGGTAGGCGTAGCGCGTGGTGTCGATGGTCGGCACGAAGATCTTGTTGAAGTCCAGGCCCGGAGGCGGAGCAAACGCCTGGGCCAAGGCCCCGCCGCCCCGCCGCCAGCGTGCCAGGCCGGGCGAAGGGGGCAGGTGAAGTGGGGAAAATCGGTGCATAAAAGGCTACCACTGCTACTCACATGCAGCTAGGCTACCCCTACTACTCACATGCAGCTACCGCTACAAGGCGAGTGAGTCATAATGTATCAACATGGTCCTCCCAGTCCCAGAACCATGTAAAGGATGAAAAACACCCATTTCTGGCTGGGATTCTCCCATACTACCCTTCATCTACCCGAATCGGTTTTGATTGTGGCTCGAGTGAAGTGGGAAAGTCAGTGCATAAAAGGCTACCCCTACTACTCACATGCAGGCTACAAAAGGCTACCCCTTGATCGAGTCCAGCGTTCAAAAGCAGCGAAATGCATGCCGACATGCTGAATCCGTGAATACCCCCCCCCCCCCCGCAATGACTCTTGCTTGTGCGATAGGGAATGACCAGTCTGGGTGTTGGTTGAATGAACCGGTGTTGGGGATTCCCAAATAAAGGAAACCATTGGATGGTTTATACGGGTCATTCCCTCATTCCCTGCTGAGAACCCGCAAAATGAGTCCTACTGCTGGGGGTTGAGCAAATATGGGAAATATCATTTAAGTTTAGTTGATTCCCCCAATGGTCATCACATGTAAAGGACCTTTTGACCAACCACCAGCTACAAAAGCGGCTAAATGCATGCCATGCCCACATGATCAATCATGCTGACATGGACTTCGACGGTACAACACGCCGGAACCGAACCTCCATAAGGTCCTCCCAGGTCGTCCAACGGCCCTGCTCCAAATCAAAGTTGGAATCCTGGGTGCGAGCCATTGAAGCCCCAAGCTGCAACAGCTCTCCCAGCTGGTGCCAAGTATTCTGCCTCCCTTTGAGATTTTGAGATCCGTTGGAAAGACAACTTTCCTTTTATTGTCTGGCTTCGATGTGTATTGGTGAGAGGGTAAACCTGGTAAGGTTGGAAACAACGTGATATGAATTTCACAAAATAGCCTGACTCGCCGTCATGAGTGCTTCTAGCCCTTTCCTTGCTGAAACTCTCTCTCTCTCTCTCTCTCTCTCTTTCTCTCGTTTTCCTACCTCTCGAATCGACACCTGCTTTAAGGCGGCCACGAAAAGAGACTGCTTGGGCAACACCTTCTGCGCCAGCTTCTTGATGAAGTCGTCGAATTCGATGCGCCCTGAAAACGGTGCGTGGCCAGCTTGCAACATGTGCAGCATGACTGTGGCCCACATGGCCATGGGTCAAAATCCATATCGTACCCCCAGTGAACATCCCAATTTCCCCACTAAAATAGGTCCTAAAATGCGTGGTGAATTCACCTACCAACCAAAATGGGACACCATTAGTTCCCCTAAAATTTTGACTAAAATGCGTGGTGAATTCCCCGAAAACCCCCAAACTGGGATCGATCCCAAAACGGTTTTGACAGCCACATCTTTCGGCTCGCCAAAAACAGGCGCCTCTTTCATCCAGGTGGGCACCCAGAGACCAGGTCAGGCAGAAGATGTAGATGTTCTCGACCTCAAGTCATGCTCAACGAAAAAAATCGACCTGAGCAATCCAAACCCAATGGGGTTCCTTTGTTCCCTTGCAATATTGAGTTGGCAAGGGGTTTCTCCTAAACCCTTACCCACATGCGAGTCAGAATCACAACACTGTGTTCAAATGGTCGTAATCCCAGAAGCATGCTTCAAGAACTAAGGCGGATATCCGCAGCTATTTGTGGTTGGGATTGTCCCTTACTAACCTTCATCTGCGATGGTGTTGATTGTGGCTCAAGTCATGCTCAACGAAACGACCTGGCGTAACAGAGGTCATCATTTCACTGTTTCCGGGGGTGACCAAAGTCGGAAAATAGGACTGGTTCCCTTTAACCCACCTCTTGGTGGCGACTTTGAATGCGGCCACTGCAAGCACTGCTAAGCTCCCTCGCCAGGTCAATCGGTGTCGTCCCCTCATCGAAGATCGAGTCAAAGAGCCTGGTAAACTGCACCTGAGGCCAACAGAAACATGCGCTCGTCAGGATGCATCACCCCGGCTGATTCACAAGCTTCCCAAAACCCAGATATATGGCCATGGGTCAAAATCCAAAATCCAAATCGTACCCCCAGTGAACATTCCAATCCAACCACTAAAATGGACTAAAATGGGTGGTGAATTCACCTACCCCAAAATGGAACCAATGGTTTTGACCCACAGCCATATGTGGAGTATGCCGGAAAGTGAACTACGTGAAAGCCCCACCAAGACGCTGAAACATGCTTGAAAGCCTCAGGTGAGCAAATTGGCAAAAGCGCATATCGGGCGAAGGCACCACTGAGTCCATACCCATGGAGGAGCGGTGGATGAATCCGCTCAAGGGCTGCCCAATCTGGTCACCCTGTGGCAGTCAGCGCTAGCAAATGCCAGAACCTCACCCCTGACAACATGTCTCCAGACTCTCCAAGGATGAATTCACCTGCAAAGGGAGGGGGGCGAGCCTGACGGCCTTCGAAGATGTACCTGACTGCCCAAACAAGCGTGGCGCTGCATTCGTGAATCTCAAATGTTGAAAACCCATTCCTCACCACCAGATGTGAATCGAAAGCGATCGAAAGCCAGGTGACAGAATCAGGTGCGGCACGTACTTCTCATACAGGTCCTTCACTGCTGCGCATGACGCTCCCCTTGTGCTTGGCCTGTCCTCCAGCGACTCTCTCAGCTTCTCGGTCTGCTTCAGCCGCTGCCAGCGATCGTAGTACGGGCCAGGGCCCAAATTCTTGTCATCCACCTAACAGGAAAGCTGAAAACAAATAAAACATTGCATGGTCACAAACCCCCTTCATTCTCTTTTGTAATGGTTCCCCCCAGGGTTGACAGTGTTTCTCCAAAGTCCTTCCTATCGATCCCGAAGCATCGGGTGTGTGAAAACCGCTCGACCCGCTTGCGTGTGGCTTGCACCAGCGCCACAGGCTGGGGCTGAGACGTACAACATGCCACAGCGACTGACCGTCGCTGGAGACGCATACTGAAGATCGTAGACCTCGAAGAGCATGGCGCAATGCTTCCTGGGCGGCACAGCTTGTGTATATATATATATATGTGTATGTATATATATATATATATACATATGATGTATGTGTATATATATATATATATGTTTCATGTAATAGAATGGAATGCAATGCAGTGCAAGTCAATGGAATGCAACGGATGCAATGCAATGCAATGCAATGTATGGATGCATATATTTATATGTAATATCGATATATGTAAATATTACATGTGGCATACTACATAGGGAAACCAATCGCTTGCAAGCAATGGTCCGGAAAATAACAAGGTTTGGTTGCTTTGCTTTTGTCCAAAGCATACATAATTTGTGTGTGTGTGTATGTTGTACTGCTTATTTCAAAATTTGTGACCTGGTGTTTGGTTCAGAAATCAGGCTTACAATTAAACACGCTGAAAATCCAAGCCTTTCATTTGCAACCACTGTTTGCGGGTGGTCCACGTATTGTGTGCATGGGCATGTCTTTCTTAAGGGGACCCTGAAGTGGTGGGTGGTCCTTTTGGTTTCTCTTTAAAGCCACCCAAAAAACATACCCTCAAAAAAAGACACACCCATGTTAAATAGAAGAGAGCTTGCTGTTGTGTGTGCTGTGTAGAACGCGAGTTGCTGTCACCGCAGCAAATGCCCACACAAACTGAGCCAAACCAGCATCAAAAAACAAAAACAATAGCAAGCCAGGCTTCTCCAGTCGAATACGCTCTCCGTTTGTCAGAGTAAGCAGTTTGTTGTCGTCCATAACGGAGTTCATGTTCTCAATCCAAATGGCGTCCACATCGCCGTCGTAGACAATGTATCGCCTGCCAATGTGCAGCCCATGTCCTCCGCTTGTGTGACATTTTGGACTCAGCACCTGCAGGGCTTGTCAGCGGGGTGGGGCTGGTTCATCTCTCTGAAGATCTTCGACAGCAGCCTCGTGGTGAATACAAACTGAAATCCAGGTGGCTCTGACTGAGTGCATTGAGTGAATGAAGCAGAGGCAGAATCTCAGCTGTTTCACTTGGGGCCGGGCCCATCTGTCCAATCACGTGTCTGCGGATCCAGCACACCATAAAGCTCCTGTTTCTGAAGAGACATGCACAGATTGAGGATGAAAACATGGAATGCGCAATCGTGCCTCGCCTCACCCGCATCGTCTGAAAATGACAAACCGTCTTTGCATCGACCGGTGCGAAAGGCCCGCCTCCGTGGTAATGGCCTTTGGATTGAGCGGGAGCAATGTTGTAGGCAAGCCCAATGCGGTCTTCTGCGCCTGAACAAAGTACAACAGAGACAATCATATTCGAGCCAAGGTCAAAATATCATTTGAAAAAAGATTACCCGACAGATTGCCAAAATCCGTGTGTCCCCCTCTGACATGCAGAGAGTCTCCCTCCCATCTGAACGCTTTGGAGCCGGTGCCCCCACCTCGGCCAAGCAGTTGAGCACCACTGACTTCCCGCCGCCCGTTGGTCCCACGATCATGGTGGAATGCCTCGGCGACTCGGCGACTGATTCCTCGCTCGCCCTGTGCCCCCAACTACTAGCGCGTGACCTAAGGCAAGGGTGGCGCCCTGCATGCAAGATGCCGGGTCAGCATCGTCTCATACAGCTGCATGACCTTGTCCACCTGTAACTGGTATATGTCCTGAAAATATGTCCGGGCCATGTTCCGAAACAAGTGATGATGCAGCTCGCCAAATGAAGAAAAGAAGAAGAGAAAACCAGCAGGTCCTCATACTTGGAGTGCATCTGGCTGTCATCGAAGTACTTCATGATTGCATCCTCGACAAGACAATGGCAAAGGCCGGGGAGGACAAAAAAAAAACAAAAAAACGCGAAGCACCACAATCTGTGAGATTCGGATCTCCCACCTTCAGGCCGGGGTTGCCCTCGCGCGGAACCTTCAGGCCGGGGAACAAGTCGTTGAGAAGCCCCTGGAAGAGCGGCACATCCTGCGAGCTTCTTCAAAGCTGGCCATGGGCTTTTCAAGATCCAAATCGTACCCCGGCGAACATCCGATTCAATCCAACCACTAAAATAGGTCCTAAAATGAGTGGTGCACCGAAAACCCCCAAAATGGTACTATTGGTTTTGACTCACAGCCATCTGAGTCATACAAAACAAACTCAGCATCAAAATGAGCCCAGAACCATTTCGAACTTCGTCTACCCGGGTTTTGGTGGTGGCTCATCTGCCCATGTCCTGCTTGACAAACTTGGGCATGTTCCTCGACACGTCGGTAGGGAAAAAGAAAGCACCCGCAGAAAAGAAACAGATTTGCCATACGGCCATGGGTCAAAAGCCCGTACTCCCAGTGCACTGAAACAGGTTCTAAAATGGGTGGTGCACCTACCCCAAAATGGTACCATTGGTTTTGACCCACAGCCATACGGGTTGCTCACCTCACCTAACTGTCGAGCAGCAGCAATTGAACCGTTCAGGCCAAGGTGCATGTCTCGCAGGGCACGCATCAGGACCTAGCCCAGCGACGCAGCGACACGTTCCATCCAAGGCGCACCGAAAATCACCCAGCCTTGTCTTCCGGCAAGTCCCCGGCAGCTCGTTTGAGATCTCCCGCCATGACCAGCACAGACTTCAATGCTCGCAGCTTGAAATCCTGTCAGATGCTGCTTGCCCCAGAAGATGATATGTGAATATGATGCCGTCTGACTAAGTTGGTCCGGTTGAACTAAGGGGCGTAGTGGTATTGCTTGGAGAGCTGACCCTGCGACAGGGAATACAGCACCGTCATCTTCTTGGCCAGGACCTGCGGCAGGAAACGAAGGGCCGCACTCCCAGATGATGCTCACCCCGTATGAGTCAACCCCAGTTTTGTTCCTGGGAGGTTTTTTTTGGGTTTACTGGGGAATCGTCGCTTTTTGTGGCGTGGGTGCAGCTCCCCGACGGCACCTTGGCCAGGTTGAAGCCCTCCGACATCAACATGTTCTCACCTGGCTGCGCGTAAAAACCGCGTTGGGATCCCATTTTGGTGGGTAGGTGAACACATCTTAGAACCTCTTTTACTGGTTGGATTGGGATGTTCACTGGTGCACCACTCAATTTAGAGCCTATTTTAGTGGTTGGATTGAATCGGATGTTCACTGGGGGTACGGGATTTGGATTTTGACCCATGGCCACCTCAGTTTTCATTGAGCGAGCCCGAGAGAGCCCCTCGATTTTTCTTGGGGCTCGGCAAATCATCAGCAGGTCTGGCACGATCATCGTCACTGGCCGGAACAGCGCCTGCACAAGGGTGACATCTATGCGATGCCGGCCAAAACACCCACACCGGCATATAACGGAGCTTGTTCATCAGTCATGGAATGGTAACTGCCGCCCATTTGCTAGTGACAAGTGGCAGTGGCTCACGCCAGCTTCCCCATGCAAATCTTGACACACGGCCAGTCCTGTCAAACTTTTGATTTCAATCCTTTGCCTTCAGGTTGTCCGGAAGCTCAGATCGGCCAGCATAGCCAGGATTCATCGTGATGAAGTAACCTGGTGCGCTCTCTCTCTCTGGCGAAGTACTGCAAAGTCCATCAGTGAATAAAGCGTTGTGATCTGTGCCAGGCACCAATGGTCGTCTTGAGCACGACGTCCCTGCCCAGCATTTCAACCGTCTTCTTGCCACCCTGGCATTCTGCGCGGGCACGGCGGAAGCAAACAAGCAAAAAAAAGAGGCGTCGTGCCATGAGCAATCATTCTAGGGGTTGATTTCCCATTCCTTTCAGCCATCCTTCTCAACAACCGGATCTGTTTCCCCTGGGGTTTTTGGATGGTTTCCTGAAAAGATCCAGATCCGGATCCCTGGGTTGAGAATGGGGAAGCTAGCCCTAGACTACTGCAAGTGCTTTCATGTGAGTCGGGTCCCCGCACATTCAGGCCGTTCTGGATGGTCTTGATCTGTGCCGCAACCACGGACAGCACCTGTGCAGCGAGTTTTGGGCTGATGCACAGACGCTGCAACTGCAAAAACGCCCGCGGGCGGGCCTCCACGTTGATTCGGTTGAACTCATCGAAGCAGCCCCAGAAGCCTGTGCAAAGTTCTCAACATGCCTTTTGAGCTCACCGTCCTGCCGAAACTCATGCTTCCCCCTTGGTATACACAGAAAAGTCCGCATGATTATTTCTTCTAATCGGGCAAAAGAAAAACTCCACCCAGGTGGTTGCCACAGGTTCTTGCCCCAAGTCCGCCCTTTTTCCCCGGAGCTTCCTTTTTCCCCCGCCTTCCCGCCTTCCCACCCCCCACTTTGCCACTTGGCCCCCGCTCGGCTCGGACCCGCTCGGAACCCCCGCCTGTCTCCGACAGGCCGCTGAAGATCACGCCCATGGCCCGGAAGTCCAGGCCGTCGCCGCAGTTGGTCACCACGCAGCTGATGGCCAAGGACTTGGCCAAGTCCTCGATGAGCCGGCTCTCGAGTTGGTTTAAGGGTACAGAAGTAAGCCACGGTCTGACCTGGGGGAAAAAAAATGGGGTAACCAAAATGGCATGACTAGAACAGGCGGGGTTTGAAACCACCCAAAATTGAGTGCTTCCCCACTTAACCCAGAAACACCCCCATATGAAGAAACAGGGATTGATTCAGATGGGTGTTGTTTTGGGTATGGCTGAATGGGAGAAGCTGGGGCCCCTAAATGGAATGGGAAAACTTACCCATGGTCATTGGGCCCCAAACAAAATCTTCTGAGACCCCCCACATGGGTATTGGTCAGAATCAAACCACCAAAAAGTGGACCACTGGGTTTAGTTATTGTTTCCATTTACCAGGGCGCTTGCCATTTTGGGTTACCGTACGTTTGACAACCACAGCCTTTTGACATGGCTGTGGTGGTCAAAATAAAATGGGGTAACCCCAAAATGGCAAGAGCCCTGGTAATTGGAACCCGTGGACTAAAAGAGGCGGTCCAATTCCTGGTGGTTTAATTTGACCCACACCCACACGGATTGGCTTGAAACTTGCTGGTGCCATAGGTTGGGAATGACCTTCCGGGTGTTGAGAATGAGCGGTTTGGGGATTCCCTTCCAGGAAACCACCGGGGATTTTCTCGGTGTCGTTCCATTTCCCATTCCCCGCCTATCCAAACAGCAAGGACTTCTGCCGCTACGTCGACGCGAGGAGAAAAAAACGGGGCGTGGCGGTCCTTCACCGTCTCGGTCTTGCCAGTTCCTGCCGGGCCCGCCGGGGCACCACCCATATTGAAGGTCAAGGCGGTCGTCAAGGTCATCACCTGGCGTAACATGGGTATGGGTCAAAATTAAACCAGGAATTGGACCGCAGGTGTTAGTCCATGTTTCAATTTGCCAGGCCAAGCCATTTTGGGGTACCCTATTTTGTGACCCACACCAAATAGATTTCAGAATGACCCGGATAGTCGAATAAAGAAAACCAGTTGGATGGTTTATAGGCGTCATTCCATTTCTCATCCCCTACATTCCCCTACTGTGGCAGAGCTCTGGTCTCAGCACAGCTGTGGACCAGGGCAAAACACGGTGCCCGAGGCCCTCACACAGCGGTCAGTCAGAGGAGTGATGACCAGGCGGCCATTCAATCCCTGGCAGGTCACTCAAAAGGCCAGTTGATCAAAGTCTGCAGATGTGGATATTACATATATATATATATACATGTACTATGTATATGTACTATTTATATGTATATGTATATGTATATGTATATGTAGATGTATATGTATGTATATGTATATGTTACATACATGTATTGCAAAGTTGGAAATTCATCCTACACCGTCCCACGGGTTGACCCATTCAGTATTTCATCTGCACTGAAATATGTTCAGACCCCTGCACATTGCTGAAACCATCGTCATTCTGTTGGTATGATCTAAAGCAACTTACACATCTGCAAGGACAGAATGGCAAGGGCCGACAGTACAAGGTTATGGCTGAGTGGAGATGAGCGTTAAATCTCGTGTGTTTGTGTGTGTGTGTGTGTGTGTGCGTGCGTGCGTGCGTGCGTGCGTGCGTGCGTGCGTGCGTGCGTGCGTGCGTGCGTGCGTGCGTGCGTGCGTGAGTGCGTGCGTGCGTGCGTGCGTGCGTGCGTCCGTGCGTCCGTGCGTCCGTGCGTCCGTGCGTCCGTGCGTCCGTGCGTCCGTGCGTCCGTGCGTCCGTGCGTCCGTGCGTCCGTGCGTCCGTGCGTCCGTGCGTCCGTGCGTCCGTGCGTCCGTGCGTCCGTGCGTCCGTGCGTCCGTGCGTCCGTGCGTCCGTGCGTCCGTGCGTCCGTCCGTGCGTCCGTGCGTCCGTGCGTCCGTGCGTCCGTGCGTCCGTGCGTCGTGCGTGCGTGCGTGCGTGCGTGCGTCCGTGCGTCCGTGCGTCCGTGCGTCCGTGCGTCCGTGCGTCCGTGCGTCCGTGCGTCCGTGCGTCCGTGCGTCCGTCCGTGCGTCCGTGCGTCCGTGCGTCCGTCCGTCCGTCCGTCCGTCCGTCCGTGCGTGCGTCCGTGCGTCCGTGCGTCCGTGCGTC